CCTTTCCTCACAGCAGAGCTGCCCCCGTTCCCCTGATCATCTTGGCAGCCTGCTCTGGACTCGCTCCAACAGGTCCATATCCTTCCTGTGCTGGGACCCCAGAGCTGGAAGCAGTATTCCAGGTGGGATCTTACAAGGCTTCCTGGAGCCACTCCATTCCCTAAACAACCTGTATATAAAGACTGGGGTTTGGTGCAAACATCACTGATGAGACCCTGTTGGACCCCACTGTGCTGCCCATGGCCCGATGGCACAAATGGGCGCTCCGGGCGGAGACAAGGGAACACCGAGGGACAGAGGGAGACAGGCAGGAAACACCGCCTGTAAACACACAAACACTGCACCAGCACACACAGCACGGCAGATTAATCACAGCCAAACTTCATCAGCTTCATGACAAAAGAGTGTTTTAATGAGGGCCTCAGGGGACGAGTTTTGCAGACCTGATGGACACGAGCAGCTCAGACCAGAGCAGCCCATGCCTCCTGCTCCCAGCAGGAAGGACGGACAGCCCCAGCACTAGGCAGACACAGAGTTTTTAATGCCATGCCACCGAGCTAGAGCCATTCAGGGAGTTAAATGCCACCTGCAGAAGCCCAGAACTGAACGGTTTTCTTGCAGCGACACAAAGAAGCACCTAGAAAGATGGAGAGGGCTGACATGGGCGTAATAGCAACAAAGATGAAAACTACACAAGCAATTGTCAGGAAAATTTTCCCAGAGACAGCACTGTAAATGAATAAACACAACAGAGGCGTTAAACACCAGAGAAAACAGCACCAAAGTCACCCAGACTGACAGCAGAGACAGGGGAGTGTAAGCCTGGAACTCAGAGATTTACAGAAGTTTCAAGAGGTACAAGAATTCACTGAAGGACACTTCAGAGAAAGAACCGAAATTCAGAGAAAGAGCAGAGGAAGGCCAAAAGATCAGAATTGTAAAACCAGAAGCAAAAGAGGACAGAGCAATGATGCTTAACCCCGAGCGGGAAACATCACTTGCGTTTCAACAACATTCAGCACCATAAGAGGAAGAAAAGAAATCACAAACAGCTCAGAATAAAACTGGAAAGGAAAATCAACCTCTCTGTGTTCAACAAACCTCAATCAGCATTTTAAACAAGTTGGTCTGAATACTGGGTAAGAAAGCAAAGGGCACATCAACTGCCCCAGCAAGAAGCAGTTGGGTACCAGGAGCCAGTCTTCACCTCTGCAGGTGAAGTGAGGATGGGACGCTACCTGAGAAAAATGTCCTGTTAAAAGCATGTTTCTCAAGAAAGAAGTGACTGCAACATGCCCTTTTTTTCCCCAGAGGGGCAGGAGTCAGGAGACCAAGGAAAAAAGATCAAGAGAAAAATCAGAATTAAAATTAACTTGAAACAGAGGTAATTACTGGAAGCAGGTTAGAAAAAGAGATATGAGATGAGAAACATCTACAGCCCTGGGGAGAGAAGCCTGGACAGATGGATGCTGTGTTTTGTTACCATGCCCGTGGTATTTGTACACCAAAAGCACCCGAAGCTTACGTGATGTTTATAGTAAGAAAGCTTTAATGTCAACTTTCCTGACGAGGACAGCAGTGTGTACTCGAGGCTTCTGCGAGCCCTGAACCCTCTCTCATTTGTTACCTGATTTCTTGGACCATTTTTCTCAGCTTCACATCATGCAAATCCTTTACTCAAATTAGAACAAGCTGCTGGCAAATAAAAAGAACTGTTCTATAGTGCTCTTCCACTCCCTTTGACCAAAATAAGGGAAATGCAACATTTAAATGGAAAAGTGAAAAACCTCAGCAGTCTGATAAATAGCCTAAAAAATTCAGATTGCCATTCATTTACTCCTTTCCATCCAAAACTTACAATTTTTGACAGCAATTCTGCAGAAAAAATTTAAGGTTTCATATTTGCTCATATTTCCGCATGGACGCCTTCCTTCCATTCCAGGCCTGATTTCTGCAGGATATTCTGCCTCTGACATCCCTTCTGCTCACCAACGCAAATCTCCCCAAAACAGGCTTTTAGGAAACAATGTACAACGAAAAGATACCACAGCTCTCCCAGCTCTTGGCAAGGCTCTTAGGAACGAAAGGAGGAAACGCAGAAGGGAAGGAAAAGCAGATGACAGAGGATGGAAAAAGGGTTGTTTTGTTTTGGTGCTTAAAAAAAACAAAAACACACTAAGCCTCTTCCTTAAGCACTCAGGGCCCATTAGTGTTTTCTGTCCTTCCTTCCCAAACTGATATTTAACGATTTCGGGACAAAACCAGTCTGAGGATAATTCACGTAAACTCAGCAATAATCAGCCCCACGGCCAATAAACTCTTCACCCTCGTAGTTTATTTGCTGCTAAGCCTTGGCCTGCAGCCTTGGAATTTATTCTGCCGGCACTACAGCTATTTCCTTGTAAACAGGAAGCCCCCTCAAATTTGCATTACAGTAAACTCATTTGCTTCATTTAGCCTCAGCCTTATCTGGGAAAGATAAAAGGGTGCCGACAGGTGTACAGGCTCCAGCAAGGAGACAAGACTGAAACAGAGGTGAAACCTTTAATATTTCCCGAGGAGACAACGTCAGCGGCACAGGACCCGTCCCTGGGCTGTGGTTGCCTGCCGGAGATAAACCAACACATTCCTGCGAGCAGAGAGCTGCAATAAGGCAGGGACATTTACTTTCAAGCGTGGATGTGATATTCCAGTGACCTTCCTGCTGTCTGTCCCGGTGACAGCCAGGACCAAGGTGAGGATGGCTGCGCAGCCGGGCATTACAGAGCCGAGCTCGTGCTCCTCTGAGGAGCTGCTCACACACACAGAAATAATGAGTATCTGGAAAAACTGTTTGATTTCAAACTCATGTAAGAGAGGACTCTTGTGTGTTGTATTTTTTTTACTGTTACTATATCAACCTGCCTTTAACCAGCCGATTTATGTCATTTTAAATGAATCACTTTGCCAGCAATACAGAATATTTCAGTATACCCAACACACCATGTCTGCTCTAATGAGAGGGATCAAAAAAAAACCAGCCAGAAACCAGCATGAAGATATCTGACACCAGAATAACGGTCACAATTTCCTCCTGTATGAGGAAATCCCTGTTTTCAGTTAGTAGCTCAGAAGTTCAGTCATTTCGAGCATCCTAAAGCCGTTTGTGGTCCCGGTCTGAGGTAAGTCTCTGTTCTCAGTTATGTCTCCTCCCGCTCCGGTGCTGAGTGCCTGAAATGTCCCCATCCCACAGCACCACGTACTCACTGATGGCTTCTCACCTTCTGCAGAGCACCACAGCCCAGAGGGATGGCAAACCATCCTTCTTCTTTACTATCTCGTGCAAACAGGTTCTTCCACAGGCAGCTCTAGGAGCGAGGCATTTCACCTTCACCTCTCCTCCTGCTCCACAAAATTTCCTCTGGCACCTGGCTGCATTTCCCACCCTGCCAAGCCAAATGCAGGTGAACCATCTCTCCAAGCTCAGGAAAACAACCACTGACACAAGGCAAAAACTGGAGCAGGAGAGTAGAGCACAGCAGGTTCCTCGGGCCTCGTGCTGTGCTACGAGGCTTCCCCGCGCTGGGCAACAATGGATGTCAGTCCGGGCAACAGCTTCCCATCCTCCCCGCAGCTGCCAACGGTGTCCTTATTTCTCATGGCACTGGAAGGACTATTCGTCCCCTGCACACACTCCACATCCCACCTTTCACCTGCCCAGAGGGGTCGTGTCCCTGCTGGGAACAGGGAGCAGCACTGCTGCACATCACTGACGGCAGAACTGACATCACCAAAGCACTGATAAATGCGAGGCCACCAGCACCCCCAGCAAAACTGCACCTCAGGCTAACAGGGTAGCTGAAATTTTACAGATGTTGCATTATTTTTGAAAGTGTAAACACATACCAGGAAATAAAATGGGCACCTTCATCTGTCCAGTAACACCATCCTCAACCAGACCTTAAACTCAACAGCAAAACTTCTTTACCTGACACATCTCACTGCCCCTCCAAGGGTGATAAACGTGGGCTAGACACCCTTCGCCTTCCCCTGATCCAAAGCCTCCCTGTCCTACCCAGCATTCCAGCAGAAAAGCAGGAGAATGAGTGTAGAAGAGGGAAGAGGGCTTCAGTGATGCCTGGCTCACAGTAGACAGCTCGGCTAGGCCACCAGCAGGCTTCCAAACTGCCTACACATTCTGCAGTAAAATTTGGTTTAGATTCTTCCTGTTGCAGTATTTCGTTTGCTGACTAAATCTTCATTTTTAATATATATACACACATCCAGAACCATGAAAGAGAGGGAAATCTCAGTTTTAATTTCAACAATAAATAAGCGATGCTCAGGTGATTTTATAACACAAGCATAACCGGGGGGAAAAGCTGCTTTTTCAGATGAAAACCTGCTTTTAACACCAAGCCCCAAGCAAACAACCTCAGCTGTGCCAAGGCACCCGTTTGCTCCCGCGGTGAGATCGGGGAAGGTCGGGGCAAGGGAGCCCAGACCTGCCCCAGCACCTTTGCTCCGTGAGCTGCCTGCTAAGGGAGACCTCGGCTCCGTCCTCCTCCCGCAGCCCCTGTCAAACCTCAGGAAGCATCACCAAAAAAAATCGCTCTGCGGAGCAGCACAGCCAGACCGGCTCGGTTTGGTGCTACCGGTTGATTTCGCCAGAATTCCTCACCCTCTGGACTGAGCACCGGCTTCGGGATCCAGAAAACCCCGAGCTCGGGGGCTTCATCCCCGGGGAGAGCAGGGTATCCCCCGCTAAGCCGCCCGAGGGACTGCCCGCAGAAGTTGTGCCAAATAAACACACACATCCAGCACGTCCAAAACACTCAACACATCCAGCACATACACGGAGCACATCCAGCCCGGCCCCGCGCCCGCCCCGGCCGGACCCGGTGCCTTGGAGGCCGCGGTGCCCGGGCAACGCCGGACCGTTATGTGCGGCCCCGGGGAGGGGGCCGGGGGGCCGGGCCGGGGCGGCCGCGGGGCTGGGGCCGCGGCGGGGCGGGCGGTACCTGGGCTCGGGCAGGGTGATCTTCTTGCTGGCCCTGGCCGCCGGGGTGCTCTTGCTCTTCTCCATCGCCATCAGGTAGCTGACATCGGCCAGCACCGCCTCCAGGTCCGCCATGTTCCCGCTCCGCCGCCGGGCTGCAGATGGAGGCTCCGCCGGGGCAGCCGCCCCCGGGGCGGGGGTTGGCGGCGGGCGGCGGCGGCGGCTCCGCCGGTGCGGCCGAGCGGCTCCCGGTGCGCGTGTGCGGAGCGCGGGGGCCGCTCCCGCCTCCCGCCCTGCGCCCCGGGCGGGCGGCAGGAGGGACGGACGGACGGAGGGAGGGAGGGAGAGAGGAGGGAAGGAGGGAACCCCCGCCGCGCCCCCTCAGCGCCCGCCCGCCCCCGCCGGGCCCATGGCGGCTCCCGGTCCGCCCCCGCCGCTCGCAGCCGGCGCGGCCCCCGCGGCCCCGCTCGGGTGGCTCGGGGCGCGCTCGGCGGCCATGGGCGGGCCGGGGCTGCCCGGCACTGCCGGGGAAATCCGGGCATGGAGCGGGCGGCGGGGCCGGAGCGGGGCAGCGCCCGCCGGGATCCCGGGGACGGGGCGGCCGCGGCCCGGGGTGACCCCGCACCGAGAGGAGACGGTCCCGGCCCCCCGAGGGCAGCGCGAGGGTCCCGGGGTTCGTGGTCCCGGTCTCGGACACGGTGGGGGATTCCATCCTGCGAGGGTGGGGAGGCCCTGCCACAGCTTGCCCGGAGCAGCTGTGGCTGCCCCATCCCAGAAAGCGTCCAGGTTGGATGGGGCTTGGAGCAACCTGGTCTGGTGGAAGGTGTCTCTGTCTATTGCAGAGGGGTTGACTAAGTGATCTTGAAGCCCCCTTTCCAACCCAAGCCACTCCTTGGTTTTGCAGAAGGGGAACACCAGGGCCAACACCGAGCACATGGGGTGAGGAGTGCGATGGCTGCCTGAAAACATCAGCACCCGGTCGAACACATATCTTTAGAATTAATTTCCTCGTCGTTTATTAAAACAGGATACAAATAAATTCATCTGTGTGACACCCCATTATTGCTCGCTGAACCACTTGCAGGCAAATAATCATGCAAAGCAAGGCACCCAGGTGTCCTCTGCCCCAGCAGAGCTCCCCGCTCGTATTCCTCCTTAATGTAGTAGTAGCTCCACTGCAGCCAAGCAGATATGCAGATTTCAACTGCTTTCTTTTCTGGATTTCGTCAAATATGTCATAAATAATTGGCTCAATGAAAGGCTAAGTCAATGACAAGTCTGAAGTTTGAAACTCAGCGTGTTTTGAGCTCTTTTCAAGTGCCGCCACTCCTCCTGCCTACATCTTTATGAAAGTTAATGATCTGATTAAAGCAAGGTAGAGTATACAGCTGGGAGGATTTCACCATGTGGCTCATTATGAACTGTCTGAGAACCTGCTTTTTGTTAAAAATGTAAATTTAGGCCAACACTTTTCACCTGAACAGATCCACTGGGGAAGGTTTCTCCTCCACCAGTGGCCACAGAGCAGAGCTGAGGCTCAGAGTGTCCAAATGAGTGGAAGGAAGTGGGGAAGGACCTGGGGCATGTCCCTCCTGGGAGCTCAGGGTGAGGTCTCCCACCAGACCTGTTTAAAGGTTTCACTGAGCCGAGCTGAGATGGGAAGGGGTGTTTTTATCCCTTGAAATCTCTGGGCTGGCAGTGGGCCGTGGCACGGTTCCTGTTACTCCTCAGGCTCAGCCCGGACTTGCGGCTCCCACTGCAAAGTTTATTCCAGTGCCTCTGCATGGGCTCTCCATTTGCAGGGATGTGGTGGGAGAGATACTGCCCCCAGGCATGGTGATTTCAGGTCTTTTCCAAGTCCTTTCCATGGTGCCTCTCCCTGAGCCTGGCAGAGCAGTCCTGCTCAACCCTCCACTCCAGAGAGGTCCCACAGTGGCAGTGAAGCCGTCCAGGCTCCTACAGCTGCACTTCCTCATTAACACCTGCAGAATTACTGTCTAATTAAAGAAGTACGTCAGAATGCATGCAAATACATCAGTACACAGGATAGCCTGTGCTCTAGCGTAATCCACCGAGGAAAAACCCACGGTCCAAAACTGTATGGCTCTGCTGTTCTAAGGAATATTCTGTTTAGCTACAAGTAACTATTTGCCACCCTCACCACATCCTTAGCCTAGTTATTTGAGCAGACACATGCCTTTTGCCATCTCTTCCAAGGGGACTCCCAGATTTTGGCTCCTGCAGCCCCTCTGCCCATCATTCACTGATATGTCCACAGAAGGATCTGGGTTTCATTTTCTGAAACATGATCCTGCAGAAGCAACATCTCCACAGGGAGGATCTCAGTGCTGACCTGATGGTGTTGCCGAACACCCCAAGCACAGGCAAGGGAAGGAGAGAGCAAACAAACCACCTCTGCCCTGAGGAGGAGGGCCCTGGTCTGCTGAGATATTTAAATGGCTTTACAGTGCTGGTGACAGTAATAGAAGTCATCAAAATGCCACTTATGATTCCCAATGCTCTCGTGTTTATTTCTGTGCCACATTTTCACCATTATTATCTGGATATTATTGCTGTGTACACATCAAAGACATTCCTGCTGACAGTTCCTAGGAAGTCAGGAAGACAGCCAACCAAGTTAAGAAACTTGTTTTCTTCTTTCTGCTTTTGGCTTTCCATCACTACTGGTGTGGCAGCAAGCAGCTGGCACCAGAGTGGAGGTGGGTTATAAGAAAAGGTGTTCTCTGCACCATTTATTTCCCAAGTGTGATTGCACTGCAGTTGGAGGTAGTGGAACTTCCCCACAGCCACGTTGGGCACTGGCTGGGGAGGCAGCACAGCTCTGGCTATTCATGCTCACCTCTAGCATGTAAACACCTCTAATGGGTAAACATCTCCAGTGTGTAAAATGCATATTTTTTTAGTGATATATTCCAATATTTTCAAGGTCACTGGGATGGGCAATTTTAATTACAGAGTGGAATCAAGTAGAAGCCAAAACAAGTAGAACAGGCAGTGCCAGCCTCCTCCTTTACAGGAAAGTTCAACTCCCCAAGTGCAGCTTTCTTTAGCTTGTGTTGTATCCCAGGCCATGTTTGTGCTGTTCTTGTGTGTTGGTTTTGGTGTTTGCTTGTGTTTATAAACAGTGCTTTATGCCTGCCTGGGGATTCCCCCCAGGTAAAGGAAACCCAGAGTTAATTGATGCCAGGGTTAGAAGAGGTCAGAATATGATACACTCTGAATGCATTTAAGTATCTCCTGACATTTCTGTGGATGGTGATTGATACTGCTCAATCAGTTTAAGCCTGTCTTGAGGCCTGGCTGGGCTGGAGTGCTGGGGTTCATGTGCAACCACTTCAGAGCCAAGAAACCAACCTCCCCTTGCTGCTCCTTCCTTCTGAGGAGCAAGTTCCTCCTATCATCTGTATAAGATTTAAATGTTTAATTATGCCCTGCTCTGCTTCACAGGATGATGGATGATGTTACAGAGAGTAATGAGGTTATCATACATTTATTAGTGCATCCTACTTTAACATCCTCCCATCCAGATAATGGTGCAACATGTTACACCAGGACAGAGGCGCATCCGTCCTGCTGCCCTCCCTGTGGCCAATCCCATACCAAATAAGATCCCTGCTCTATGCATGGCTAATGCCAATAACATACCTTGAGGGGAATGTTCACGTAGAAGATTATTAAATGCTACTTTTTAATACTATTTTTACTGATATTTCTAATATATTACCCAAAATGCTCATAGTTTGAGATTAAGAGCATTAAGGAGTGTTTATCTCAGTATCCCTCCATGGGATACTGCTGTCTACAGAGAGACTAAGCTTCTTGCTCTTCCTTGGCAGCACTGGGGAAAGATAATTTATTGGTGATGGATCCCAGCTGGACCAGATTCCATGGCTTGTTTATAGCCAAGCAGAAAGGTTATATTTTGATGTTTCCTCCACTTCTGGCAGTATTGTCTGGGGTGCCCAAATGAAGGGGAGAGGGCAGAACCTCCTTCCCCCCACTCCCCAGTGTTCCAAATCAGCTCCCGAGTTCATGGTTACCTGGAGGGGAAGCAGCTCCTGCTTAATGAGGTTGTGTGAGGATTCATTAGGCAGCAACGGTGAAGTGCCCAGAGGCACTTCTCAGTAGGAGAGGAGTAAATGCAAACTATTCCTGGGAAAAGTGGGGCAATGCCATCTCTCCTCAGGCCCCCAGGTCCTCCCCATCCCTCCCTGCAGCAGAGGCAAAGTCAGCCTCACTCACCCCCACCGCGCTCAGCCGAATGGAGACGGTGGGGAGGGATGATGTTAGCCCAGCATCCCAAGCGAAACAGCCTCACTATGACCCCTTTGCCTGTCAAATTCTCTGCTTTTCCAGGCCCCGAGGTGGCTTTGGCCCCTCTCCTCCCACAATCCGTGCCAATCCCACAGGCATTCCTCTGCAGCATCTGCACCCAGGCAGGGGTTGCATCCCATCTCCTTAATGCTGTGGTAATAAGCAGTGAGAGGCAATGTGGAAAACAAATAGAGTAATTAATGGCCATTTCTGCTGCTGCTTTTAGTCACTGTCTATTCCAGAAGGAGCAGTTTTACAGAAGAAGCCTCTGCCCTCGCAGTGCCCTCCCATTAGGCACCCTAACTCTCCAGAGTGGGGGGAACTCCACAGCTCTGGCCTCCTGGAGAAACATGGTGGCTCCCCTGCATCTCCATAGATTCCTCCAGCTTTCTCCTGAATACTCTTAACAGAGGTACTTCAGTCACCTCAGAAAGGTAAAGCCTCGATATAGCTTATCGTCATCATATTCCTTTTTGCAAATAGCTGACATGATGAGGAGGTTGGTTTTTAATTAGGAAACAAGTGGCAATTCAATTCTCAAAAATATTATTCACCATCAAACATTCATACTGGCATAGTCAGACTAGCAGTAATAATGTCCTCTGGGGGCAGAGATAAGAGCAGAGTTGAAAGTCATGCAACGTCTATAAAGTCTTGCATGAGAAAACACAGGCACGAGAGGTCTGGGGCCTCCCGCTTGCAATTGCATCACACCATTGTAATAAAAATATCTTTCTGACATTCTCCTTTTCACATTTCCTTACCCTGACATGCCACATAGCCATGTCCTGGTGCTGCCTCCCTCCTCAGTCCATGCCTTGCCAGCTGCAGCCTGGAAGTCTCGGCTATGACCCCTTCAAAGCCCACACAGGGATGTTACTAAAACTGAGTGTGGTGGTGAAACA